TGTCAGCATTTTGGAAAACCCTAACTTAACTCTGGTGCCGTGTCACATATAGAAATTTTTTGATATTTGCAACCATAGTAAAACAAAGACTTATATTTTTGATATTTATTTTATATATTTAAATGCCATTTAACAAAGAAAAATCAACCAAAAAAATGAGTTCGCGTGTCACCTCTGACACGCGTGTCATAGGTTCGCCATCACTGGAATAGATGGTACTAATACTATAACAAGCTGTTGGATATTATTGTGGATTCAAAAGAACATAAGGTCCTCTTTTATAAAGAAACAACTAGAATGTGATAGAAAAGAAAAGAAAAGAAAAGAAAAGAAAAGGGGAACTAACGCTAGTATAAGGAAAAGCACTCGTTGTTTTACAGGAAGTAGTACCACTCTATTTTATATACAATTTAAATAACTTTCCAAAATCATATTCTATTACATAAATGGCAAAGAAAAGATTCATTAAAGTCAGAAATAACAGCATCAAATATCGGTGTAACATGGACAGTCTCTAAGAAGTTAAAACAGCATGGTAACTTAACCATTTAAAAAAATAAATACGTATAATCTATCAGTCGAATAAGCTCTATATTGTAAGTCTGAACTTTAACTTAAAATGTCTGTTGGGCATTTAATAATAATAATGATAATAATCTGTTCTGTAGAGAATGATATTAACCTATGGAAATTGTAAGAAGAAAGACACATTAGGACTAATGAGTATGGACATCAGCTCCTGATTTAGGGAGTGTGGTACTACATGCCTATGGTTTAATCAAAGTTGCTGAAAAATTCTCAAATGATTTTCATGAAACAAAAACTTCTTTACAATAAGGAAATGAAGAACATTAGAATGTAAGCTCCATTAAGACAGGATTATTTGTGTTTTGTTCACTGCTACAGTCCCAATGCCCCCAACATTATAGTAGGCACACAATAAATATTTGCTGCACGAATTGGAGATGTCAAAGGTTAAAGTAAGACAAAAGGCCAAAAACATTAATTAATAAAGAATGCCCCTCCTTAAGACAGAATCTACAGGGAAGTGTACTTAGAATCTTCTGTTCCAAATTGGCCTATGGTAGTAATCTATAACATATAAATATCTACAGTAACTCTAAGAAATAACTCTAAGACTTAAGAATGACTATATTAGATACAATTTATCTAGTAAATTTTAAATAAGTAGCTAGTAAATAAATAGGTAAAAATGAAAAGAAAATAACAGCAAAAAGACATCATCCTGCCTTGTACATCCAGATTGTACCACTGTTTTTTCATAGGTGCATCTCACTGGTTTACTTTACTTTTTTAAATCCTGGTAAAATATACCTAGCATAAAATTTTCCCTATTAACCATTTTTAAGCGTATAGTTCAGCAGCATCAAATACATTCACACTGCTGTGCAACCATGAACACTGTCCATTCTCCAGAATGTTTCATCATCTCAAACTCAAATTCCATACCTATTAAACAATAATGTCCCCATTGTTCCCTTCCCCCTGGCCCTAGGTCAGCCGTGGGCAAACTACGGCCCGCGGGCCGGATCCGGCCTGGTTGGAATGAATAAAACTAAAAAAAAAAAAGCCCGTACCCTTTTATGTAATGATGTTTACTTTGAATTTATATTAGTTCACACAAACACTCCATCCATGCTTTTGTTCCGGCCCTCCGGTCCAGTTTAAGAACCCATTGTGGCCCTCGAGTCAAAAAGTTTGCCCACCCCTGGCTAAACCCTTATGGGGTCTGAAGGAACTGTTCCCTGCCTGGGGTGCTTTGTTTCATTTTGGAGTGTGTTTTCATGGCCTCACCAATCCCTCAAAAAGAATAAAAAAAGTTTTATTGTGAACGTTTAGTGAGGGAAATTGAGTGCTGCTTTGGAATATTTAAAAAATATATATTTTTATTGATTTCAGAGAGGGAGAGAGAGAGATAGAAACATCAATGATGAGAGAGAATCATTGACTGGCTGCCTCCTGCAGCCCACAGCCAGGGCATGTGCCCTTGACTGGAATCGAACCCAGGACCCCTCAGTCCACAGGGCGACACACTATCCACTGAGCAAACCGGCTAGGGCTGCTTTGGAATATTAAGTGTCCTAGGGAGGTGGCCTGCGAGAAAACATGGCCAGCTAGACAGAGAACTTTAAAGGTTAATTCTTTCCTTTGAAACCATTTCTGCTTTTTGCAGTGATCACTGGAGCAGGAGATGGGATTGGGAAAGCTTATTCGTTTGAGGTGAGTTGTGTTCTTGGCCTCCTCTGCCTCTTGTACTGAGCACATTATACAGCAACAGACATTCATTATGAAGGGAAATATTTTCTGTAAAAAAGGAAATTTGAAAGTCATAACCTCACTCCCTGGATACCTTTAAAAAATGCAATGATATTCAAAGGTGGCAGTATCTCCCCTTAGGAGTTGTTTTACAAATATAGGGGCATTGTTATTCTCTAGTGTAATTGTACCGCAAGCATCATATACTTAAGCACAATTTCAAAAAAGTATAAACTACTTTTCTTTTATGTATCCTTTACATTATGGTTAGGGCATATATTGATTTAAAACTTTATTTGTGTAGGCACAACGTATTATCCATGACTTTAATTCCACGAAGATTAAGGGGTATTACAACTGTTATATAAAGAGAGGCTCTGATAGGGCCGAGTCACTGCAATGTTAGCGTCTTTCAGTATTTCTCTCCAGGCTTCTTGTTGCTCTGCAGACAGATCCATAGATAGATTGATTGATCGATAGACAGATACCTAGGGAATAGATGGGTACCTTTAAAAATACTTTTATAGCGTATGCAGTCTTACATGCTATTATTACTGTATTATTACAAATTCCATTAATAAAGTATTGTTTCCTGGAATTTCCATGTATTTTATTTCTTACTGGTGTCATTATACTGAACAACGTGAAATACAAAGGAAGAAATACTAGTAGAATCTTAGGAATTATGAGGACGACTGTTAAAAAATCAGCGACCCCTTAAAAATAGAATCAAATGCATTTGCGTTGTGAAAACTACATCCAACAGCAGTGCAGTACCCAAGTGTTTTCTTGTCCCCGAAGCCTTCATCATGACAGATGCTAAACCACCTGTGTGAGAGGACAGTGCAAGGTGTATGGGAGGCACTTGACAGAAACTTCTGGGACTTGAACAAACCTAAACTATTCCAGTTAGAAAAGCTCGCGGTGCTGGTCTTTCGGGACTGCCCCGCCCCATCCTGTATCCTCTGCCCATAAGTTCTTGGGCACAGACATTGTGCTTCAGCTCTTGCTCTTATCCTACCTGGTGAATAACAACTTTCTGACGGCCAGTGGTGCTCAAGGCTCAGCAGGTGAGTGTTGAGGTTGGGGAGACTGTTCAGCAACCACTTTCCAAAGTCTTGTGTCTTCCATTCCCCAAATGAGAAGGACAATTTTTCTAGCTGTTTGCATTAAACCTGTATCACCTTTTATATAACCATTTCCACCTTAGAGCAGGTTTCTGGAAAGGGCCTGATCCCTCATCCAAAACATCCACGGCTCCCCTCTCAGTTCTCGGCATTGCCCAGAAATGTGGGTCCTTTATGATTTTCCAGATTCTTTCCTCTGATTCATGCTGACTTGGCCTGCTCGTGGTCCCCTTGATGCTTGAGACTCAGATACTTTTCTTGCTGTAGAGGGGACCCGTAGGGACGCTCCCCTTAGCATTCGTTTCTCTACTGTTTCCAAAAGCCGTGGCCTGGGCGTCAGACGCTGAGGGTCCAGCCCTCACTCTGGCACTCACTGTCTGGAGACTTCGGACAAGTGACACATTCCTGGGCTTCTAGTCTTCACCAGCCAAGACACACCTCCCAAGAGCCTTCAGGCTCTAAGTTCTGCTTCTGTCCTAGACTGATTCTTGCTTTGCTCTTCTCCTTGTGTAACCTTTTCCTGTGTTCTCTGTTGTCCTTTTCTAAGGCTGGGAGACAGTTTTCTGGACTTCCTCCTTCCCTTCATGCAGGCTTTTCCCCTTCCAGCGAGCCTGCCCTTGCTCCCTGGGAAGTGCTGCTCCACGGAGAGCAGTGGGGAGACAGGGTGCTGTGGACGGTGACGGCTGGGAGCCCCAACTGGGAAAGGGTTAGCCATCTCCGTGTCACACCCTGCCTTCCATGCTCCCTGCAGACTCTCCACATCTATAAGCTGGAGGCGATGGCAGCCCCACTGGGCTTTTTAAAGGTTAAATGGGATGAGGAGGGGGAGGTGCTTCGCACAGAGTAAGCTCCTCAAGGGCAGCCACTGCTTTTTGGGTGTTTAAACTGTTTTCTTTACCACAAATTCCTTTGTATTTTTTTAAGGATGAGGAGGAAATGTACTGTACTTACCATATTTTTACTTTTTCCATTCTTCTTTCTTCCTCCCTGATGCTCCAAGAGTCTTTCTCTCTCTCTCTCTATATATATATCTATATATCTATATATCTATATATCTATATATCT